GATGTTGGTGCAGCAGATTCAGCTCCGGGCAGTGCAAAAGGATGAAGGGGTGCAGAATGGGATCCCCGCTGTGGCTCCTCCTCAGAGCCAGCCAGGGATGGCTTCCAGGGGTGGCAGTGTTGGTGTTAGTACCACTGTGGGCACATCTGGGAGCGTGTGGGATTTTACTCCCAATCCCTGGGGGGACGCTTAGGATTTATATGTGATTAGAAGAGTGATTTAAAGGCAGCAGCTGTTGGGTCTGCGGAGAAGAATGTGCAATGTACAGAAATACATCTGTACCCAAAACTGGGGTGTTCGGGTCTGGGATGGATTTTGCACTTTATGGAGCTGGAACCTGCTGGAAGGGGTCACTGATGCTTCTGAGATGGGTTTTCTTGGACCTTGTGGACCAGCCATTGCCTCTGTGCCAAGGGGTGATGTTCCTCTTCAGAGGGCTGGGCTGTCAGGACATGTTCCTGGTCATCTGTCCTGTGTGGATGAGCCCAGGGGTGGGATGGGACCTTCCCCCCACGCTGCCCTGCTCGTTCTTCTGTTAAACACATCATGAACCTCTTGCTTGATGTTCAGGATAGGGCTGGATCTGACCTTCCCATGGGAAGGGAGAGGAGCTCATCATGAATCCCCAGGCAGCACATTCAGCTGGATTTGGCTGGGCAGAGCCCCGCACCCACTGGGCCGAGCCCCCCCAGCCACTTCCTGACCTTGGCTGACCTTGGCTGCTGCTCTGAGGGTGAATCAGGGTTTGCCATTCAGAGCGCCCAAACCCACCCGGGCCGGGGCAGCAGGAGGCTGTGTTGGGATGGGTGCTGAGCTCCACAGCAGCGCGTGGGACTCAACACAACCCAGTGAGGGCTGTGAGCAGGACCTCTCCGTGCACACACTTCCTATTAAAAATGAAGGGTATTTCCCCCCAGACTGTGATGTTTCAGGGCAAAGTGGGGTTTGTTGGGTTGTTTGCAGCGCTCCGATGGAGGACTTGGGGTGCTGCGGTTCCCATAGCCTGTTTTCGGGTGTAGTAATGATCATCTGCAGGACCAGTGGGGATGGAGAAGCATCCAACCAACCTTGAGGAGGGAACACTTCCAAGTGAAACCTCCACTTCAAAGGAATGTCCAAATGCGGATCCCTCCTCGCAGAGCAGAAGTGCCTTATTTTGGAAACGTCAGCATTTCCGAGCGAACAAACAGGGATAATCCCAGCCCAGCCCAGCGCTGCGTTAGCACCCGGGTGAGATGTTCCTGCAGAAAGTCCTCCAAAGGTGCAAATCTTCCTTGGCAGGAGCAAACAGGATCCGGCAGGTCCCATTCCTGGAGGCCGGGTTTCCCACCCGGAGGCAGCTGGGGCTCCAGCAGCCCAGGCTGGGGCAGAGCGAGGCCCCAGGCTTATGGTGATTTTTATTGCTGTGTTTATTGCCTCTTAAATGAACCTCCTGGG